TGTACACATTTTTTTAAAACTAGATATTTGTAGCCAAGTTTGGTTCCAATTGGGCCAGTAGTTTCAGAGGAAGTTTTTTGTAAAAAGTAAACGACGGCATGGCCAAAACTATCAAAAAATGATCAGCAAAAGGTATAAAAAGGCCAAAATTGTCTGTCCTTGAATGATAATGTTTACCCATTTTTGTGTTTTGCCAAAAAAAACTATAGTAGAAAGAGAAAATAAACAGAAAAAATATCAGCAATACAAGAAAATAAAAGAAAATGATTTTAGTCACAAATTGTATTCTTGTCTACAATGTTGAGAATGACATAGATACAGATGAGCGAAACTGTAGCTCTTTTCACAAAAAATCTTACAGACTAAAAATACTCGTAAGCCATACACACATTTCAGTATAACCTACGATCAATTTTAATCGTAAGATTTTTTTTGTGAAAAGAGTCGCAGAGTCTTTAGAGCCTCTAGTTGTTATACTCACGTTTGAGATTTAAAAAAGAGAAGGATGGAGTGCTAAAAATAAGATAACCTCGCCTTATGTTCCTTTACATGTTCAAAGTCAGAAATGTTTTGTTTACCGTATGGTAATGTCAAATGCCTTTTGTTTTTAGAACGTACATTTATGTTAACGTCTACTTGTCTCATGGGGTTTTTGTGTCGTAAGATTGCTGTCTTAATGTCGTATACCATGTAACTTCTTTCATTAATTTTCCCACTGGAAGCTCCATAATTCGATCTGATTCATAAAAAAAACCAATAGGATATGAACAAATAGTTTCATTCCAATGCAAACTGCCGAATTTTATCATTTACAACTTGCAATGTCGATATGTTAAAATGTTCAAGTCCTTGCTTTGCAAAGGAAAACAACAAACATCAAATAGATACAAAAAAAAGGAACAAAACTGATACAGATTGACATTTGGTATACATTTGGTATGAGGGGATTCTACCAAGCCCTTGCAGCAGTCAATGCATCTCAGGCCTCTTCAGTTTACAAATTTAAATAAAATGCTCCGCTGGGCGCAGCTTGATACGACTGCAGAGGTCGAACCCTGAACAGTTGGACCAAGTATGGACACAACATTCAAGCTTGATACAGCTCTGAATTTTGATTGTGATTACATATTTGACACAGCATAGGTTTCCGACACAGAATGAATGAGGTCTAAGAACTTAAAAATTTGAAATTGGACATTTACCTTTTATGGTCCAATATCCAAAATTTAAATATATGGTTTGATTCAGCATATCAAAGAAACCCAAGAATTCAATTTTTGATGAAATAAAAGTTTAATTTTGGATCCTTTTGACCTCAATGTGAACCAATTTAATAACGGGGCCCAAAATCCATAATCTAAATACACAGTTAGATTCAGCATATCAAAGAACCCCATATATTAAATTTCTGTTGAAATCAGACAAAGTATAATTTTGGACCCCGATTTAGACCTACTTGAAAACTGGTCCCCAAAAATAATTTACAAAATCTAAATACATGTTTAGATCCAGCATATCAAAGAACCCCAAGAATCATTTTTGTTAAAATCAAACTAAGTTTAATTATGGGCCATTTGGACCTTAATGTCGACCAATTTGAAAACCGAGCCCAATATCCAAAATCTAAATACACGGTTAGATTCAGCATATCAAAGAACCCCAAGAATTCAATTTTTGTTGAAATCAAACAAGTTTAATTTTGGACCCTTTGGACCTTATGTGGACCTCTTTGAAAACGGCGTCATAAATTCAAATCTAAATACACGGTTAGATTCGACATATCAAAGAACTCCAGTAATTCAATTTTTGATGAAATCAAACAAAGTTTAATTTGGACCCTTTGAACCTCAATGTAGACCAAGTCAAATGCGGGGCCCAAAATCCAAAAATCTGAAAACACGGTTAGATTCAACATATTAAAGAACCCCAAAAATTCAAGACTGAATTAAACCCCTTAGAATTTGGTCAAGAAATATTGTTTTTGCCCGTTTGTGATTCGTAATTACTAAACAATTAGGGCCATTACCCCCAGAATCAATCCCAACCTTCCTTTTGAGGAATGAAACCTTGTGGGACAATTTCATCAAACTAAGTTTAATTTAGAATCCCGATTTAAACCTACTTGAAAAATGGTCGCAAAATAAAAAAAATATATAAGTACATGTTTAGATACAGCATATCAAAGAACCCCAAGAATCCATTTTTTGTTAAAATCAAACTAAGTTTAGTTTTGGGCCATTTGGACCATAATGTCGACCAATTTGAAAACCGAGCCCAAAATCCAAAATCTAAATACACGGTAAGATTCAGCATATCAAAGAACTCCAAGAATTCATTTTTTGTTGAAATCAAACAAGTTTAATTTTGGACCCTTTGGACCTTAATATGAACCACTTTGAAAAAAGAGCCCTAAATTCAAAATCTAAATACACGGTTAGATTCGGCATATCAAAGAACCCCAGTAATTAAATTTTTGATGAAATCAAACAAAGTTTTATTTGTACCCTTTGAGCCTCAATGTAGACCAATTTAAATACGGGGCCCAAAATCCAAAATGTAAATACACGGTTAGATTCAACATATTAAAGAACCCAAAAAATTCAAAACTGAATTAAACCCAATAGGAATTGGTCAAGAAATAAGGAATTTATACAAAGTATTAGAAAAGTATTGTTTTTTCCCCTTTGTGATTCGGAATTACTAAACAGTAGTATTGTATTTATATTGTGTCATAGATCAAATTTATTCGTTCAGTGTTTGTTTACCTGTTTTTGTTTATATGTCTTTTTGATCGAGTTCAGCCATTTCAATTGATATTTTATAGTGTGTCTTTTTTTATGTTGTAATGTTACTCTACTGTTTCAGGTTAGCGTGAAGGTTGGCTCTTGTTAAAACGTTTAAACCCGCTGCATTTGTATGCACCTGTCCTAAGTCAGGAGCCTGTTGTACAGTGGTTGTCGTTTGTTGATGTGGTTCATAAGTGTTTCTCTTTTCTCGTTTTTTATATAGATTAGACCGTTGGTTTTCCTGTTTGCATTGTTTTACACTAGTCATTTGTTGGCCCTTTATAGCTTGCTGTTCGGTGTGAGCCAAGGCTCCGCGTTGAAGGCCGTTCTTTAACCTTTAATTGTTTACTTTTTACACATTGTGACTTGGATGGAGAGTTGTCTCATTGGCACTCATACCACATCTTCTTATTCCTAGTTAGGGTCATACCCCAAAATCAATCCCAACCTTCCTTTTGAGGTACTGAACCTTGTGGTACAATTTCATAGAGATCCATACACTTATACACCACGAGTTATTGTCCTGAAACAAGAAAAATGCTTGTTTTGGCCCCTAATTCCTGGAAAGTTAAGACAATAACCCCAAAAATCAACCCAACCTTTATCTTGTGGTACAATTTCATAGAGATCCATTCACTTATACCCAAGTTATTGTCTGGAAACCAAATGTCTTCGGACGACGACGACGCAGACAACGACATCGCCATACCATTATACGGCCGCATCAATTTTGCAAAATGATCAAGAAACTAAAGTTCCAATTGCCTAGATGGTTTTGTCTATCATAATTCTTTGTCTGTCCCTTTTGGTCATATAGCTCCTCAAGTATTTATACTTTAATGGCGATCAAAGTTTTGGTTTTGATCATTCCTGATGAATGTTATCCAGTAAATTGCTTCAGAGGGGCACCAAAATTACAAAGTGCAATTTATTTCTTTTGTTCTTAGTGTCACTATGTGGATTTTTTTGTGGGAAGGGGGAGGGTTTTTTTGTTTTTTTCGGTTCTCTTTTATTTTGGAAATGTGACTGCTTTAGGAACCTTACCGTGAAAATATACAAGACAATCCAAACATACTTTCATCTTTTAACTGGGATATGTGTGCTAACTATACGTATTGCCAAACGCTTCTCTTCTTAATGCTGAAATACAATGCTTTGTGCAACTATGTGTACTATGACACAAATAGATTTAATGAGAGTCTTGCTTTTATTGGAATTTTTACAGGTGCAGAAGAACAATTCGTTCATGTTTATGAAAAGAAGTTTTCTAAAGTGAATTTACTGAATGAAAAGATTTCAATCTATCTTTACATTTTAGAAACTCGCTTTAAAATGAAAATGAGAAGTAAGTTTTAAACTGATGTGATCTCAACTTCATGATCACCTCCTCAAACCAAAACTGTAACCTAATACGGGACGCACAGAATAGAAAATGTGCATCCCCTAGACCATCGTAGTATCAAGTGTGTTAGAATCTACCAAGTTTGCTTAGGTTTCTTCAAAATCTGTTGTTGGGCATAGATACAAATGTGCAAGAAAACAGTTCGTGGTTTGAAGTTGCTTGTATAAACATGATAAAGTGTCACCATTGTGAATCTCCAAGTGCTGTATAAATTAGTCCAATGACAGTGGTAGTAGACTAGTGTTGTTACTTCTTGAAAACATGTACGTTTACCAAATTATTTGATTACAGAAATTAAGCACTAAAACTGAATCGTAACGTTTTTTTTGTTTTGAAATACTTTTTACTCGATTTATTACCAAACTTATGGAAACTTACCTTGATCGCGATGATTTTAAAGTATGATACTATATAAAGGATAGAATAAAGTACTAGTAGCAGAAAGGCCAATACGAACTCTTACTGTTTGGATGCTCAATAAAAATACAACATAAATGAAGTTTTTTGTCTAATCTTGAATATGCATGTAAACTGACCTCTTGCCGTTAAACAACCAATAATCAATCAATGGTATATTGATGTTTTTCTAACGTCCAGTGGCATATATTTCATATATACTCAGGACGAAATAAATCTATGTTTACTTTTATTACTTTGTACCAATGAATTAAGTTGTGCGTGTGTTCTATTTTATTGTTTTGTTTACCATTTGCCTTGTTTTGGCATCATCCTCTGGTTGTCCATTAAACTCAGTGGGTATCTTTTATATTTTCTTGAATATAATCCCAAGGCATAAAATAAGTAATCAAACATATATTGGTCATATTTATTTGTCCTTTTTAAGACGTAATATGAACAACTGACTACAAATTCATGTTCATAAAAAGAATGGACAATAACAAAAATAATGAAAATGACTATAATAGTGTATTTCATGCCACAAATACATTTTCATTAACACCAAACACAGATGTAAATTTCTGTGTCTGTAAATGCAAAAACATTAGATAATTTACATGCGGATATGTATACGATTTGGAAAACATTGGATTTCTATGATTAAAATTATTTCATTTATTTTTTTGTCATTTTGAAATACAAATAAGGATTTCATCAAAATTAATAAAACGCTTTCAAAAATTTAGACAACTGCTTTCATTTCTTTGCTTGTATTCTTTGAAAAGTATTGTATCTGTTCATAAACAATTTTGAATACGTATTTATAAACAGCAACTGATGAATATTTTAATAGTAAATTTTACTAATATTGAAGAAAGCTACTAAATAATAAAAAAGTTATTGAATGGAAGAATGGGGGATAAACAAATGAAGTTAAGCACCTTCTCAAAATACATAATGAAAATAAATGTAAAAAATTTATATATGGATCTCATTCTCAAACATAACAAATACATAAACATAAAATTATCTTAAACATATACAAATAGCAACACATATACACCTACAGATATTGCAAACTTAAATTAGTATATACAGCTTACTACTTATCTTTGGTGGTTTTGAGAAAATACAACTTCTGGCAAGAACACTTTTTGTGCTTGGAAATAAATGTGGTGTCACATATACAGAACACAATAACTTGGGAGTAAATGCACCTTTTTAAATTGCGTAGAGATCATGCAAGCATCGGAAATAATTATAAGGTTACGTCCAATATGATTTAAATATGTTCTACTTTTCAAAGCAAGAAAGGAATTTGTCCCGCTCATCAAAAAAAAAGAAAAATTTAAGTATACATATAAAAAGATGTATAAAGTGTGAGGTTCAATTACTTTTTCAAAGACTAGAAATATCTACATCAAATATATACAAGTAAGATAAAATTTCAAAGGCTAAATTTATACCTATACATATTTTAAGAGAGCCAATGATAGTTCTCAACGTAATAACATATATAATTCACAACCACAGTTTTTGTCCAAAGTCACGTGTTGTAACAACAGTCAATGATCTGTTTCAACAACAACAGCTGCTTAATACTGCTACAACACAACACAGCCCTTTGCTATATTGTCACTTTATTTGTTACCTTTTGCAAGTGTTACGTTTTGTTACGGAATGCAATATTGTCTGGAACTACGATTATTTGACAGCTGTGACGTTATGTGAATCGACTTTCATGTGAAAAGTTTGCATGTGATGGTCCAGTGCAGTAGGTGACAAGAAGTTCTGACCACACAGATGACAAGACGTTTTCCATGACGACCATGAACTAGGAGTGTCATTTGACGGTGAAAACTTTTTATTTGCAGATTTCATGCTAAGATCAAGTTCTCCGTTTGATTCCTTTTTCAGTTCTTCGTCCTTTCTCCAAGAATCAGGTTTGCTGTCATGTTTAGATAATTGATGCGGTGACGTCATATCTGCTGGAAGTGACATTGGTATATGGTTCATTCCAGCGGCCATGCCCTGGATTACTGATAGTTCATTCATTTTCGGTGGAACTCCATTCATAAACGGCGGAAATTGAAACGGAAAGAAATCAGGTGCTCTTGGTGCAAATCCTGGCATATACGGGTTTTCCTTGTGAGACATCATAAAGGGAGGTTCAATTGACATACGGCGTCCTCTTCGTGATGGACTGTTGTTCCACATATGTGTTCCCATATGAACTTTGAGATTACCTTTAGTTGTAAATGCTTTCCCACATACGTTACATTTGAAAGGTTTGTCACCAGTATGTGTACGGATATGAATCTGAAGTGCACTTGCACTTGAAAATCCTTTTTGACATACTCGACATTGATGCTTTAGTGGAGTCTGATTTCTAACAAACTGTGACTTGTCTTCCTCTTTTTCCTGACAAGGAGAGGTTTTGACCGGACTGTTGTCGGCGGTATTTGTTTTGTTACTATTTACATTTTCATTTGGCTTATTGTCAGTTTGCTCGGAAGCAATGTCTTCTGAAGATTGATTTTCAATGTCACCAATGTCACACGAATCAAGCGAATTGTCTAGTTCACTATTATTACTACTATTGTCAAATGATTTTGGCAAGTCTCGAATTTTGTGTGTCAACATGTGCTGTTTCATATTTCCTCGAGTTGTAAAAGATCGGTCGCAAACTTTACATCTGTATGGGCGTTCTTTCGTGTGACTACGATAATGTATTTCTAGGGCACTTCGACATGCAAATGTTTTGAAACAAATATTACAAGTAGTAGGTCTTTTCCCGGCTTCTCCTCTCAAATCGAGCCCACCTAGCAAATATCCGCTGTTGTTTGATACATCACTGGTGACGGATAGTGCGGGTGTTCCTGGCTTGCTTCCTTCTCCACTTATGCTACTCGAATCCGACATACTTGTATTGAGACCGTTATGTGTAGGTGGAGGTGAGTGTCTATCACCATTTCTCAAAGGAAATCCATTGTTCATGAGATATGCTTGATTTAAACGACTCAAAGACGAGTCATTCATTGAACTATTAATGTTTCTTACGCTGTTCTCTAAAGCTGCTAAGGAAGTAGAGAAAATTGGTGTTGAATGCATATTTGCAAAGCTGGAATACATTGCCGAAGAAGTGGCAGAGAACGGAGGAGAATGTGCCTCAGATCTTGGACTTGGTGATCGACCAGAGTCAAGAGACAAGGATGACGATGCTGAAGCTGGGCGTTCTAGAATTTGCCGAGCTTCTTCTCTTTGTTCTTCAGTCCCGCTATGTTGTCCATCGCTAGCTGTCCCAGAATCTCCAGAAGGTTGGTCCATCTCAAAGTGTTTTTCTTCACCGACTTCCTTTTCCTCATAAGACATATCATGATCATCTATGTTCATTTTTTCATCGTTGCAGTCATCATTGCTATCATGTCCATCGTCTCCGTGAATACTCCCATCTTCGTTTAATTCACGTCTACGATCTTCGCTTCTACCTGTGCTAAAAAGTGCTGATTTACTCAAATCCAGTTCTTTTTCGGGTTCTCTTTTCATTGATAAATCATAAGCTCTCGATGCCATGTCAACCATGTGTTGATTCATACTATGGTACATTTGAAAATGATTCATATCTGGCATTGGTGGCATCGTCGGTATCCCTGCATGACTTCGTATATGTTGTTGAAGAACTAACAGATTTGTGAAACTTTTATGGCAAATGGGGCATTGATGCATCATTCTGATTGGTGGTTTCATACGATGAACACCCATATGGGTTTTTAGATTGCCCTTTGTTGTGAAAGATCGACTACAAATCTTGCATTTAAATGGACGTTCGCCGGTATGTATGCGGTAGTGCATCTGTAAAGCACTTTTGCAACTGAGAACTCGGTGGCAGATTACACATTGGTTAGGATCGGATACTTTATTTTCAAGATTATCAACTAACTGTTGTAACTTGGAAGTCTCAGATCGATCAATTTCCATATACTGTTCCAAACTTTCTTCATGTTCTATCATTTTAGTTGGCAGAATGGAATCACGATGTCCAAACGGAGACGAAGGTATGAGAGATGGTGGAGCTGATGGTAATGAAGCCATTATAGGATAAGGACTAGCCATTGAAACATGAGGTATAGATGGCATTGGTAGTGACATAGTACGATGTGGTGGAGAGGGTTTGCTCATTGGTGGCAAGCTGGATGAAACCAACGGTGGAATATCGTGGTCTTCTTTAGAAATCGATTGTTTTTCTGTGCTAGACTCTCCAAGTTTTGATGATTTCGACGTATCGGATGACGAGTTCGATGTTAGACTAGACGACAGCTTTTCTTCAGGGAGATTGTTAAGCTTGGATACAATACTGTTGGTGAACACTGAGGTGGCAGATGACGAGTGTAATGAAAACGGAAACATTTTTTCTGGAGTTCTAGGTTCAGGTTTTGAATGATGTGACGACGAAAATGACGTACTCATTAACGGTGTAGGAACTTTATCTAGGTGTTCTGGAACTGGATGAGGATTCATCTTGACATGCGGATATCTGGCTCTATGTCGTTCAAAGTGGACTTTAAGATTTCCTCTTGTAGTAAATCTATTACCACATATGTTGCACTTAAATGGTCGTTCACCTACAAATATACGAAAATAAATTTTGAAAAAATGGACAATTTATAATATCATTAGTAACCTTTGCACAGGCAAATTTTATGAATGTGAAATGATAAAAAAAAATCTTCATCATTTTTTTTTAAACACGTAAAAAATCAGAATATCTGGACTTGCATGGATAATGTAAAAATTAAAGTGCATAAACTTGTCCTCGAATTTTTAGGACAGACTGATAGGGATGCTTACTCAAATGAACAAAAAGTAGTGCCGGAGATACTCCCTAGGGTTGTAACTGCAATCGTTTTTAATATGGATTTTATACGAATGGCCATTAAATTCATCTCATCTACATTTAAAACTTTTAAAGTGATTCGGTCCATTATAACTTTAAAGTAAATGTACTCGGTGACTTTACGCAAATGTTTTCCTATATTAACTAACGTGAAAACAGTTATATAATTTTGTCTGGTGGTCAATCTGACCTGCTATTATTTATGAAAGGATAAAGAGCAATTTATAATCTGATGTTAAAGTTATCAATTCTCTTTATGATATAGGAGACATGATTAATTTCACAGTTGGTCAATTCGGTTCTATGGCAAAGATCAGAGAAAACCATTTCTATAAGTATTAATTAATACTTAGAGAAGATCAAATTTTTATTTTCTATTTTCATAGCGTTAGATCAAATATGTCATAATTATTGAAAAATAAATTTTACAAAGAACTATCCAATTTAATTTGTGCTGGAGACTGACCGTTCTTTTGATGTGGTAACAGAGGTGTGTTTGTCCATGACGAAGCTTTGTGGACACAGGTAATAACTACGCTCACAAAACATGAAAATGGATATGAAAAAGTAAATAAAAGATGAATTTCGTGAACTTTACAATCAATTTTAATAAAATATTCATTTAATATCCCATGGCAAAAACTTTATTGTTGGTCGTAAAAAGAATCTTTTCAAAGCCTCTTTGGTTATATAACATCCGTGACCCAATCGGTTAATTTAAAGTATGACCACACACGTTATTATTGAGGTCTTGTTTTGATCATCTTGACCAGAGCAAAATCAAATAAAAAATATTTTTAAGTGTATATGCTTTTAAATCTAATTTCAATGTTGCAAAAGCATGACTAAAATTAACGTTTAAAATTACTAACATTTTCGATTTAATGATATTCAATTACATTCAGAATTTTAAGTGGACAACCTTTTTTTGGATTAATTTCCGCGTATCATTGATTCATTAGTGGAAAAACCAACAAGATTTTGTAGCGCTGTGTTATATTTTTTTCAAAGTAAAATACATAGAAAGTGTTATATTTTTTCTAAGTAAAATACATAGAAAATTAGAGTCCAGTAAGAAGCATAAAACACGAACTTGAATACTACTGTCACCACAATTATTTTTTGGCGGAAACCTGCAACAGTGCACAGACATGCACGAATGTAAACAAGCCGTCCACATCTGCAGATCTCGATACTTGAAAGTGTCATGCTTCATCGTATAATACAGACCCACTTCCACATTTCAAATATTAAAATGAATGTGATAATAATACGTTATAAACTTTCTTACAACTGAAATGATTTCTAAAGAAAATCCCTATCCATTAGTTACGGATTATGTTATAACAACCTTTCCTTATTATGCGAGTGATCTATGTTACTCAACTTCAATAAGACACCGTATTATTATTAATTCTCCCATTTTTCAGTAGATTTTTAAAATATAATTCTCATGCAAATTTTTCGAGTGTTATTGCCTGTTGCAAATCTTCAGCTTTTGGCCATCTGCAAAGCTGATCCAAAGATTTTGACATGACACTTCTTTAACAAAACTTACCTATTATGAAATATTATCTTTTCATTCTTTGACTGTTAACGGGGGTTAAACGGGGCGTCCTCTAAGTAATTTATCAACGCGTCAAGGTAAAAGATAGGACGTCTCAAAAAAGCCAAAAATGGCCATTTAAAAAATCAACTAATGGTAACGATAACAGATATTGAGGTCTTCGCAAATGTTTATTCATATATACATAATATTATATGTAATTGGCTTTCTTTAAAAGATTTCTTGTCAATTTTACTACTGTGATTTTTTTATTCTATAAACGGTAATACGCAATACCCCCAATATTCCAAACCCGTGGTTACATGTTACTCGGTTCATTGATTAAATTTTGATCATTTATTAATTTACAACCTGGTAATGAAACAAATATATATCAAAATTTCAGCTATTCTTGAATCAGTTTTGGACAGACCACCGAGCTACTTGCTGATGGCCTGAGTGTCGTTTTCCTTTTAGAACCCCAAGAACCCGTGCTGTGTATTTAAATATAAGTATGTAAAGGATTAAAATCCCTCATCTTCAGACATTAAAATATTTTATCACTTTTATTAGCATTTAATTTCTAGCCATCTTTCAAACTTGTCATAGGACCACCTGCCATCTGAGAAGTTAGCCTTTATTCTCTATCCAGCCATGACCACAACATCTCAAACTGTCCATCGAGAATTAGATAATCATAGCATTTTCATCTGGGTCACCTTTCTGATTATCGAGAATAACAATTTTTGTTAATCTTTAAGATTTTTCCGTTTGGTAATTACCGCCCTAGTCTTGGTAACTGTTCATCCATTTGCACTTCTGGTGTGAAGGATAGAATAAATTGATAACGTTCAATCAGGAACATATATATTGTTAGATATACTGTTCCCAGGTTCAATAAATCATTTAGAGTTATGAAATGCATATGCATTTTTTTCAAATTTCACTTATTCCTACAAGATCTTCCATTGTGACGTTATCCCAATCGTCAATTCCAACATAGAAAATCTCTTAATTGTGCATGTTTTTTTTTTTGTTAATGGACATTTCTTTGTAATTTTTCTTCGAAATTTAGATAGAATGTCTACATTTGTAACAGGGACAGTCTACACTAGTATTTGTAAGTAACAAGTATTCGGATGTTAAAATTGAAAATATCTAAATTTTGTTAGTTTTTTACTATTGGTTCTGATGCTGATTGAAAGAGTGATTTTTGACCTTCAAAAACCATGGTACCTTAGATGAAAATTTACGGTAAATTGGCTCAGATACACGCTTGTAGCATAATTGCGGTCAGAAGAGACCATTTGATGACCACTGTACTTGTTAATTCTAAATAGTCATAACATACAATTATAAATGACATTTGACCTTTATTGATGGTTTCCTATTTCTAGGACTTTCTTGTGAGAATTGTGAGAAATCTCCTTACAAATTTTCTACAGGTCTTGTAATCTCCGAGGCTTTACAAATAAACTACATTTGTCCTTTTACAGGACTCGTTTTCTATGTTCCCAAAAAGTCATAAAATATCAGGCTTATAAAATATGCAAGTTATTTATTAAGAAATGCAAGTTATCTCCAATCAACAAATTATTTCCGGTTGTACAATTTTGACAATTAAGAATTTGTAAAAATTAATGACATTTCAAAAACGACAAACAACTCTGACAAAAAATTTTGTATGAACATGCTTAATTGTCATAATAACTAGCCTTGTACCTGTCTGATGGTAGTCCAGACTGCACATCTCCCAGAGGCTAAAACAATCCGTACCGTGTTACTTTTAGGAGGACTCATGACGTTCTTACATCATTTTTTATGTAATTAAATATGTAATATACGACCTAATATGCTACAGAAGGTTGAATTGACAGAAATTGGTGAAAAATAAATGATAAAGGTTTTTAGACGTGATGCTTTATAATGACCTTTCAAATTCTAGAAACATCTTTCCAAAAATAAACGCAGTGAGTATGATATTATTCTTTGAACATTCTCATCTAAATTTCTCAGAAAATGACGACCATTTGTCATCAGGCATGTCAACAGAATTTTCACTTTACATAAAAATGTGGTGAAAATTGCGACCTTTTTTTCATAACACATGACAAAGTTTTCAGAGCATAATTCATTTTTCTGCTGATTAGGGCATGGTAGCTGGAACTAATCTAATTCTCCAACAATTTTGTTATAGCTATAGTTGTAATGAACTGCCATTTTTACAAAACAACGAAAAATTATTACTTTCAAGCTCACAGCATCGAGTTCTCTACTGCAATTAATCCAAGTCAAAATTCTATTTTACAATAAATCGACAATAATTGAATTACTAGCATCTTTTTTATATCATGTTGATTAATGCCCTTTCTTGACTTCTCACATTGTCTCGCATCCCAAATACGGTGTTATTACCATCAGTATGCTGAACAAATTGTCTTAATTACACTTAAATCGCCTAATAATCATTAACAAATGAAATATAATGTTTCTTTGAATTTCTCCCACCAGACGAAGGTCTAATTCACTTATAGTGCATGGAAATTTCCATTAGGATAGTGAAATATCTTTTGGTGTAAAGTAATCAGAAAAGATTAGAGAGTTACTTATTTTCATAATCAGCAAATAAAATATGCTACATGACAAAGTCCTTCTAGGTGCAATATTCCTCAAACAATGTATATTTTTTAAGCCCAAAGAAGAAAAAGGTCTCCATGGGACATCATTTATGAATTTGTACAATAAATGCCCTCTTTCAAATGTTGACATATTTCATCATAACTACACAAGAGATGAATATTACATGAAAAAGAAATAATTCATCCCTTATAATGCGTATTTTCCTCACATCCCGCCATCTATTTATGACTAACATCATTTACAGTGCAAAGTTGCAGAAAAATAGAATATTTCATCTCGAGCCTATTGGCAAAACTCGTTAATAAATTAATATCAAAAAGCAATTTCAGTATGAAATATTGCCAAAACTTATGTCCAAAAGCCCAGAGGACTGGGAGGCCATCTGTAAGGAGATGACTGGTATATGTAATAGTTTAATAACTTTTTATTTTGCTATTAATTACTGGATTTTTCCTCCATTTGATATATGGCTGTATATTGACAACTGGTTATAAAACTGTTTACAATTAGCATCTAAAGAATCATTTTCATAGCATTTTGGACTGAAATAGTTGTTCCAAATTTATCTTTACTTAAGCATGGACGTATCTACATTGACTAAGATTTAAGTTTTAAAGTCCAAAACACATTCTACCTTTAATCCACTGTTTCTATGCTGAAGTTTACACCAGATTTTATACAGATACATGTTAAATTATACCAGTTTGTGACTTATGGCAGAATAATTTGTGATGTAGATCTACTTCAGCTTGCCATAACTGGGGTATCATGATAGTATGTAGTATCTATAATCAGCAAATTCTAAACCAGGTCTGTGAATTTACAACTACCAAACACAGGCATATTTTTCAATACAAGAGGTCATGTTCAGAATGAATTTTTGAGGTTCTCATAGCAAAAAACAGACTTTTTCCAAATAGGACTAGAACAATTATCTGCAATTCCACATTAACCAGGATACAAGTTTTCCCGTCACTTGCATACAATGTTCAGTTTTTGGGATTTTTACCATCAAAAACTAGGCAATTTTTCAAATATGAATAAAAGGCAATGGGGAATGTGCCAACAATACAAAAATCTAAATGTCAACATAGTCAGGTTACATTATATAAAACTCTTAATAGCCCTAGGTCTAAAAAAGTTGTGAATAGATTAAAAAGACATGGAAAAAAATCCCAAATTGACAAAAAACATTAAGACACAACATAAGACAGCATTAACAAGGTTGCCAATTTAAGACAGGCACAAGTGGATGAGTTTAACTATATACTTTTACATTCACCTAGACTATAACTCAATTTAGCTTTCACCAAATTAAATAAATTTTGACAATGTCACAACTAATTAAAATAATCCCTTATATGTATGTTTAATATTTTTCATGATTAGTAATTCCAGAGTTACTGGACTTTAGTTGTAAAAGACTTAGACTTATTTTAATACTTTCCCGAATAAGTATGCTTTCATGAATCCTGAGTATATTATTCCTACTAGTTATATCTATTTAATACCATATACAACATGTATAAAATTTACTTTGTCCATTCTAACTAGCATCATTTGTGACATATGTGCTCACGGTGCAGCTGTTTATTTGAAATATGTATTCCATTTTACTTTCAGCAGAGTAACAAACAAATATAGTTTGAAGACAACCCTATTGTTTTAACAGAAATAGGACCATGGACCATTCTGGGAAAGATTTACCAGACAGAATTAAACAAATCACTACTATAACTTCAAAACTAAATTTGAACTATTTAACTTTATTTTTTGCCGAACTGTTTTAAGGAAACTTCAAAAATGACTCCTTACCAGTGTGAGAACGTATGTGTATCTGTAATGCACTGTCACTGCCAAACACTTTATGACAAAGTCGACATTTGTGTCTAAAGAAAGGATCCTCACTAACATACTGGGACCGTTCTACCACTGAAACACAAAAAGTCAAAATCATTTGAATGTACTATTGGCTACTTGTTAATCATTAATAAAATGGTCTCAGAATTCTTGCTAATGACAAGAATTAGGCTTGTACAGACTACAGAGTAATCAGTGAACTTTGTAAAAAAAAATTCCAGTAAAATAATGCATTGTGTATCAAAATAATCTGTAGATTCATCATTTGTATATCATCAAGCTAAATAAAAGGTTATATGCTTCTTTAATCTCCACATTTTTTTATCATTTCAATCATATTTTAGATATATCAAAAGCATAATTATTTCTCTTTTTTTACCCTCTAAAAACTTCCTTTCATCACTTACAATAACAAGTTCGACTCTTCACAGAAACTTCTTGGAATGGGTTCAAAATAATTTTCTTTCTAATAATTATCTCCTACAAAGAATCAACTTATGTCAAGGAGATAATCCCTTTTTTGGAACATTTAAAACAACTGCCATTCATTGTTAGAAATTGTTCAGAAGAAAGCAAAGATAGTTTGCATTCACCTTCAGCTAATTTTGATTTCAGATGAATATCTTCTAATACTTACAGTTTACCATTTTAATAACAACAACCAACAATTTGGATGCCACTTAAACCACAAATATTGCAATCAGTAATGACTAAAAAATCTAGCAGTATTGATGTATGTCTTCAAAGTGCAGTTCTACTACCAACAACAAAGAATTCTACCAACAGCAACTTAAGCAAAACTTTTATGATGGCAACTAAGTTGCCTAGCTGTGGTATGAAAATTATCTTCTTTTCATCATATGACAAAGAAGTTAACATAAGTTTTTCTGTCCCAATTTCAATGCTAATTGTTTCAATGGCCAGTTGTATATACAGTGGTCATAAAATGTCAATGACCCTATCCATTAAAATTTTCAAGAATATTGTAAGATTTAAGACAAGTGATAATAAATGAGTGGGTTTTTACACCTGTTTGAAATGCAAACACAGAAACCAAGAATTTGTTAAAAGCACAGAAACAATTTTTTTTCAAATATTTTTAGGCAAAGGAAATAAATCTCACATCATTTCTGTTAATACAACATTAAATCATGCCAGATATCATATTTGATTTTTTGTTCATACAGATGTTTTCCATCTCTTTTTAAAGACAACCTTTTCTATAAAAATCAAAGGAAAATATATATTTAAACAAAATTTGTATGATTGTTCCCACATGTTCCTTCATATCAACAGTTTTATGAATGTTTAGCAGATTGTTAACTAGAATCATGATGTACGTGTTCCAACTGCCAAAAAATGAAATAAAAAATCTAAGCTAATTTTCATCTTTTATCGTATTGTGGGAGCCCATCAGTATTGTAGAAATGACAAATGGATCAGGCTGGCAGGAATGTGCCACAGTCAGAGTTATTGCCATTTCTAAAATAATAATTTTAGTAAAGAAAGTTATAAAAGTGAATTCATCCATGTGTTTGTTTAAAATGGCCATTTTCCAAAAACTATATATCTATGAAAATTGATGTGCAGCTGTTTAGCAGGAGGGAGGAATATAATTCTGTCAAAAATGTCTGATAAAAAAGATCATATTTTTCAAATTTCCAGCCTGAATTTTATTAGAATCAGCAGTCTTGTCATTTCTACTCTGGTGAATTATTATATTTAATTCACATTTAATCTTCTTCACAGAATCTGTCTAGCTGACTCTGGGGAACAGATGAGCTACAAATTGAAGACATGATGTTCTAACTATGTCATTTTTCCTCAGATATTTTATGGGGCACAAAAGTACTGAAAATCTCTGAAAAAGTTGAAGATTTTATGCATAACACAAATGATTTAGAAAGTGCAAGCATACACTTTATCGAAGCATAGTCTTGATAAGGTAAAACTTACAATGAAATACCATTTGGAAATTTTACACAAAACCATTTGTTTCACTGAGTTGGACTGTAAGACAGGTCAATACTGCAACCTTTTGAAATGACCATGACAAGATTTACCTCGACTTTTGAAGACCAGAAACAAAGTTGTACATCTTTGTAAGAAATGAGGATACAAATTTGACAGCCTTTCATGACAATTCCTTTCCTTCTATTTAAATCAACCATATTCAGCTCTATTTCACAAGGGGAAATAACCTTACTTTAAGAATATGTGATAACAAACCTATTTACAGCTTTCATTTAGGGTTGCATCTTGAGCCTCCTGATTTACTGTGGTTTATTGTAAGGTTGTGAAATATGACAAATTGCCACAGCAGTAAGCTAAATATCTGCCATCCATCTATGATAAACTAGCTAAATGTCAGAACAAGAAATTCTATATCAAATTTAATAAATCTCTTCCAAGTACATGGGCATGATTTTAACAAAGATTTCAAATTCTGTTTGAACTGAGTTTCCTCAATGGGAGTTTTTAAATTGAGATATATTTATATCATTTTACCATTTAATTATTATTTGTATGATAAATATTGACACTGTATTATTAATATTATTGATGGATGTAGGTATTTTGGGTGCAAACTGTTTAGATCCATGACCTAGGTTTTACCTAGATCCCACCACATTTGAAATTCAATCCAAATTTATGGCATTTTGAATGAATGCCTTTATAATTCAATCAAAATATTGATATTAGGTGACAATGATAAAAGAAATTTGTTTTAATTTAAAACATATCTATTTTAACTTTTTCTGAAATGTTAGGCTGTAGATGAAGGTGCCAGGGTCCATTGGGATCACAAGGGCACATCTGTAACAGAGATCATTTATAAGATAGTAAGAAGAACTGGGGACTGAGATGACCAGATAATTTATCACATATTTGACAAATGTTAAAGGAACATGCAAGTCAAGGACTTATAATAGTCCCCTTTTCTATGTTATTTTAATTAACCATGAATTTATTGAAATGTGAGATGACCTTTGATCTCTTAATTCAGTGGTGTTTAATTAAATCTTAAATCAAAAATTCTTTGTTGAAAGTATTTTATGACATCTTACCCTGGAAAAATATTATATTTGTCATAAAATGAATAAACACATTTTTATGTACTTTAATCTTGTTTAAATTAATCTTAAGACTAGTATCTAGGCATTGATGTAACATTACAAAATATCTGTTATTATTTCTGTCCTTTTGATCTTTTAATTTTCATATCTTATAACAAAATTAATCATTTATTTCAACATGGTTTTTTTGCTTTTCAACTTAATGAAATAAAATCAGCAAAAATAAAATACATGAAGATGCCTTCAAAATTTCAACGAAGAAAAAATTAAATGCACAACAAATAGAAGACATTTTTTAAACTGTTGGCTAAAATATTTAATATTCAAGTATCTTAACTTCAGATTCTAATAAATTATTATCAATAAATATTAATTTATAACGTTTGAATTGTTTTGTTAAGTCTTAAGCTAGGACTTTTGGTAATAAATTTTACAATATTATCAACATTTTCCATACAATCCTTTATGACAATTTGTCATCTTAAAGAATATCAAATTTTTTTTGTCAGTTTATGAGAAAATTGTCTTATGATTTATGAGGTGATATGTACTTAAATGTTAATATCTGCCATATATGATTTTTAATGAAATGACCCCTGACCACTAAACCTTTTTAAAAGATTAATGATTGTATGCAGTATACCAACAGTAAGGATTTTTTGCTAAGATACAAAAAGTTTTAGCATGTAATTTAAACATCCTTGATGTTATATAATATGATATATGATTTATTGACTTGAATTTTCATATCTTAAGATTAACTATATTTAACTGTCCTTTTATGGAATGAAATGAATGGGAAAGTTTATTTGAATTAATCTGTATTTTATTGAATATGATTTTCTTTTTTATATATATCAAAAAGACCACTTGGACTAATTTAAGTATCTTTGCATTTAAATACTTTGACTCTGTTAGTCAGAAGACTGAGGCTCCACCAAGTGCTATCACTATGCAGTACTGTTTGTCTCTGGTATCTGTCTCACCTTGGCTTATCGTGCACGTAATGAAATCATTGGGTTTGTAAGATTGGGCCATAGTACCATAAATATAATATCTCTAATTCTTTCTTATTTCAGTTTCTCTCACACATTTTTACTTCAAAATTCATAATCAGGTGTTAAAACAATTGTTATTTCAATATTGCAGAAATTGTCAGAAATAATTTTATACTGCTAACAAGGATACTGTTATACAGTGGGTGGCCTTAAAATGATTGACAGTTAATGCACCTCTTTTAACATCAATAATTCTCTGCACATGTTATATTTTTAATATATTTGTATAATATAAAAATTTTCATGCACCTGCAAATATTATTGTTTTTTGAAGTCTAAAAGAAAGAAAATCACATCAGAGGCACTAGAAGGGTTCTTTTGTTGTTTTTTTTTGGTATTATAATGAAAATTCTTCATTGAAATTTATTCAACAGCAACTTGTTGAAATAATGGTGTAGTGATATTTTTATAAATCAAAGGCAATATTAAAACTGTGATGTTTCAGAAGAGTATAAATTGGACTGTGACACTGACAAGAAAGGGAATTAAGGTGTGTTAAGTATGAAACATTTATAAAATTATTTTTCAGATTGATAAGCAATTATTTCATCTACTGGGTGATAATTAGATTTTGATGAGGCTAGCTGTGTGGGTTGGGGCAAATTGTCTTTTACAAATAATCAGGTTCAGAACCTAACATCCGGCACACATTTCATTCTTCTGGAGTAATCCCAAAAAATCTCAAAAGTGTTTAATTTAGTTATGCATCTCTGCAAATTATCAAACTTTTCCACTTCAAAAAATAATATACCGTCAGCCAAAATTATTCCAGAATGCACGCTTTCACCAGATTATGTATATACATCATTTTAAGAAAAACCTATTTTCTTTTATAAACAGAAAATGCCACATATCAAAGTTAATTTCTTGCATATGGTTTGAAAATCAAACATCAGAATTGAAAGTAAATATATAAGACAAGACATTTATCTATACA